AAAGTGGTTTTTAAATTATTTAAAATTAAAAAAATCCACATAATCATCTTTTACATGATGGATTTTCCACCTAATATTGAAAATGTAAAATAGTCAATCACTTAGCGAAAAAATTAGCTGTATCAACACTTAACTAATTAACTAACAGAAAGACGAAATTAGTGCTAAAAATTGAAGTTGAAGAACATTTTCGGTACATTATGAAGTTCAAGGATGAATTGGTTCAAAAATAAAAGTTGAGGGACCAATTTAGGTATTTAACCTAAAAAAATATGTTAGCCACATCAATATCACCACTCAATTAATCCTTAAATAGAAAAAATTGAATGTTGACATCCTTATTTAAAAAAAATTAAAAATTGACATATTTATTTAGAAATTAACAAAGTTAACATCTTTCAATAAAAAAAGTACAAAGTTGATATCCTACTTACAACGTCAAATTTTCCTCTTAAAGAGAAAAATTCGTTAAAACTATACCAATTTTGGGAAAATATTATTTAAGTTAAAGGTACTACTTTTTTTTTCCTTTTTGTGGTTATGTCAACTGGTTAAAAACCTCATTGAGGAAGAGGAGTAAGGAGAGAGAATATGTGTTCGAACCTCAGCCATATAAGTGAGGAGGTTTTTTTTGCAAATACCTTTAACAAGTAAATTTAAAGGTATTATTTTTGTAATACCCCAAAATTTCCTAGAGCATATAAGTTGAGTTAGGGACTTAATAGTGAGAAAACATTATTAATGGACCTAACTGTCAATTTTTCAAACTTCAAAGGGGTTAAAAGGCTATTGGATAAGGCCGGCTGACTCATTTCCTTTATCTTTTTCTTCTTTCTTTCTTTCTTTCCAGCATTTTCGCGTGTCTGCTCTGTTTTCCTTTCTCCCTGCAGCCGAACATCACCAGCCATTGCCAGCGCCTTCATCCGAAAAATTGGTAAGAGAACTTGATGATTTTTGTTCTCCTCTTGCCCAAGAACAAGTCTAGAACTTAGAACTTCTCTCTCTTGCAGAAATTTTCCCGGATCTGCTGCCTTCTTCCTTCCCTGCCGCCGGCTGTTGCTGGGTATAAGCTCCGGTTTTTCCTGGTAAAACCAGCCCAGAAACTCCTCTTTTCAGCCTTGATGTATGTTGGGTTCACCCTAATCTTTGTTCCTTTCAATTGCTAGTGGTTCCCGAATTTCTCTCCAATTTTCCCACCGGCTCTTCCCCATACCGCCAGCTCCAGCCTTGCTTGTTGAGCATTTCTGGTAAGTTGGCTCCTCTAATCTCCGAGAATTGGTTGATTAAGTGCTAATTTGTGAGTTTAAGTGGTTGTATGAAAAGGGCTTGGGTTGTCCGAAAATTCTGTTGAAATAGGGATGAGTTTTGGCCATTTGAAAATGGGTTTTGGTTGATGATTTGTGTAGGAAATTAGTGGGTTTGATTGTTGTGTGATGTTCGAGAGAAAAAGGGGAGAATTCCGTGAATTGGCCATTTTTTGTCAAGGCCGGTTCTCCCAAATTCCTGTCCATTAGTTTGAGAAATTGTATATCTGTAATTGTGTAATTGTGTAATTGTGTATACATAGATATTAATTGGGAACATTGTGATTAGGTCCTTGATTGTCCTGTGGCCTTAGCACTGGGATTAGGCCTTCTGTCCTGTGTAATCAAGGTAAGTAAATTATGGTAAAACCCGTAAATTTTTGAAGCATATTTTAATTGTTTTCTGAGATGGTGGCGAGGTTTAAATGGATTTATTTGCATTTGAGCATGATTAAAAAGGGAATT